AAACCAGGAGAGATTTTTTTTCTAAAAAAGGAAATAGAATGAATGAGAGAGAGAAGATTTAACACTAGGTTTAATTCCAACAAGCATTCAAGTTAATAGTCTTTTTGGAGTAGGAAGTATCTTAAGATTCTAAAAATACCATTTTTTCCCCATCCATTAGCAAGATTTCATCCACCTATTGAAAATTCCAATCAATCAGGCATTGTTTTCAGCTTCAAAATGCAATTCTGATCTTATGCAGTGTTGCTAAAGGCTCACTTATGGCGCGCATAAGCCAAAAAGCTCGGTGCAAAACAAGCTAAGCAATTCGCCTCGCTTAGCGGGCACTTCAGAGCTGTCATCAAGGCACAAAGGTATACGTCTCATCATCGAGCGTTATTCTGATAAGGTGACACCAAATAATAAAATATCATTTAATTGTAAATCTTTTTCAGAAATTATGGATATGTTTTGTATTTTTTTTTATTAGTCTTTCTTCATCAAGACTCGTGCTTTATTTGTGTTTTGTGCTAAAAACTCCAAAAGAACTTAGTGCCCTTTTTGCACTTTTCACCTATCAAGAGTCCATCTGCTGCTTTTTTCAGTCTTTTCATTTCTTTGGGTCATTCGATGGTAGTATATACACCAGTCAATGCGATCTTCAACTAATCCATCAAGCACTTGCTACCTCCTACCAACAGAAGTACCGGGTAACTTCACCAACACTTATGATTCGATCCTTGGTTTCCAAGGTTGTCACTCCACCTTTTCCCAGAATTTTCATACATTAATCATCCTCAAAGAAAGTCCCTTTAATCTATCTTTTCAGTTGCTTTTTTTCCTTTTTTTGGGGTTTGGGGGGGGGGGTGGTGGTGGTGTTGGAGGGAGATACTGGCAAAAGAAACTCTCAAGAAAGAGAAAGACATACCAAATTGAAGCAGCTCCAAAAAATCTACTGTAACGAAGCTTTTGTATTACATAGACTGTTCAGTTGAAGGGGAGCCTTGGAGCAACGGTAAAGTTGTTTCCATGTGGCCTATAGGTCACGGGTTTGAACTGTGGAAGCAGCCACTAATGCTTACATTAGGGTAGGCTATCTACATCATACCCCTAGTGGTGCGGCCTTTTCCCAAACCCTGCGTAAATGCGGGATGTTTTGTGCACCGGGCTGCCCTTTAGACTATTCAGTTAAAGAAGTATTCCAATAGAGAAACAATCCTTCTGGAAGTAAAATGGCAGAAATACAGAAGACAGTAAATCCTTAACTCAAATTTCATATATCGATTCTTTATCACCACAAAAATCTTGGAAATATCTCTTTTCACTTTGAAGGCATGAAATTACAGAAAACATCACTACAACGAGATAACAATACTGCTACAAGAAGGCAACAATGTAAATCTAATAGAGGCTCAACCGGAGTGGATGTATCTGTTGACCATCAACAGATTACAATTCGAGTTTCTTCTCCACCTGCTGAATTTGGTGAAATAAAATTCAAATCATCATAATACAAGGGAAACTGAACCCAATATACTGGAAATCCAGTGTAAAGTTCGAGAGGTCCTCCTGCCTTGAATGTTCTCATGGAACGGACAAAGTAGGGAAATTTTCTTTTAGCATCAGTCTGCAGTTTTTGTATCTGAGTCTTAATATTATCAAACGGTAAGCTGCAAGCAGCAGCAAAGAGCCCCAAAAAAGTGCTGGCCCGAAGCACAGTAGCAGCCTCACCCATGCCAGGATTGTCCTTTAGGAATTCCACACTCTCGTCATAAGCAGCAAGCAATTCCCATGTTCAATGCCACAGCCATCACTACTATGAGGCCAATAGGACATCACCTTTCCAAAGGGTATCAGCCACAATACAACAGAGAGCATGAAATGCATTTCTGTAGTTACATCTCTACCCTGCACGTAAGGTAATACCAGCTTGCATGTGAGTAACAACAACAACAAACCCAATAGTTTCCCACAAGTGAGGTCTGGGGAGGGTAAGATGTACGCAGCCTTACCCCTACCCCTGGAAGGGCAGAGTGAGGCTAAATATGCTGGACTACCCGTACACGCCCCAAATGCTCCAGCAATCGGGCCAAACAGAGACTTTTGGTAGAGAGCTAAGAGCTTCCCTTCATTGGCCTCAACAGGAATGTTCGCCCGAATTCTAAATGACACTACTTGGCCTATTGTGTAGACTGCTCGCTAAGAAGACCAGCTGACAAACCATCGTAATAGGCACCAAAAACCTCATTTTTAAGCATGTTCTTGGTGACCTCAGCTGCTTATGCCTAACCCAATTGTATCCTCACCTCGTTTATACCAATGGGTTGCATAAGACAGGTGGCAGGCATACTAGAAGCCCCTCCGTTAACGATTTTAAGAGTGGGGCAAACACCATGAGATGTTGGATTCTTTCCATTATTCTTTTCTGCTCTCTTTCCCTTTAGTTTTGAAAGAAAGAGAGTGGGTTTGGCGGAGTGAGGGCAGGAAGCTCGCAAGAGTTTACAGAATCCTTGGTCCCAGATGATTTTTAACCTTTTTAACCCTCAAACACAGAACTGAATGCCGATGCTGCTAAAAGTCCATCCTATTTTGCAGCACTATGAGCCTATTTAAGGCACCAGTAGAGCTTCACTAGAGATTTGCAATATGAAACTTAAGGTCCACCATCTCAGAAGCATTTTAGAAGGTCAAAAAAAAAAACAGATGAACATTGTTATTTTACTAAAATAACCACAAAGAGAGCAACAAACTACGACATTATGTGCCAAGTAAATCACTTATCCCAAGAAAAAGGTCTCTTGACAAATCAAGAAATGAGTAGAAGCTAATCCTTGCATATGTCTTCCTCCACCCCCAGTGCTGTGATAACTGATGGTACAACTAGAAGGGGAAAAGAGAAGACAGAACAACGAACAAAAAGGTAAATATCTCATTCAAACGAGAGAATGAATTTGCCAGATTATGAAATAGCAGCCAAATTTCACTTAAAAGGAAGTAAAATTCCATTCCACTAGGAGAATACCAAGTTGTTGATGGGATTAAATAAAATGTACAAGTGCACGGTTACATCATAAATTGTATTATAGTTGAACTGACCGGGAAAGGAACCAAACTCATCCTGGTGATTATGCTCTGGATTTTTTCACCTCTACTGCAACGCTTCCCATCAAAGAGATCAGTTAGCCGCACAATAGAGCTTTTTCTCTTCGAATGGGAAAATTATTCCACTTCCAAAATTTAATCTACTACAAGTTATCATTCAATATAATTAAGAGATTTGGTCTCAACATTCATCTTGGGCTGAAATTAATCCTGGTTGAGCCAAGTTGATCCTGTGTTCCGTGGATTCTTCATCTCACCTCCTTAGAGGAGTGTCCTTGAAATTTGAAATCACACTAAACATGGGTGAAAAGTTGAAGATATATGCGATGGAGGACACCGTACACATCTGAGTGCATGTATCAAAGAGTTGGTCATCCCACACACAATCTAAGTAAGTGGCAAGCTTGAATTTAGCTGTAACTGCCTCAAGAGTTTTTAATCTTGGCGCTACCGCTGGAGCACAACTAGATGTGCAAAAATTCTTGGTGGTGGAGGTTGATGGTAGACGCGGAACATGGCAAATTTTGAACAATCAGATCGAAAAAAATAGAGATTAAGCAAGGGACTCGGAACTTTCTTCAAATACACAAACTTATAGCAAAATGATTAACGTACTCATACCTAATACTTCCACATACTCGTATTGGATAAGTAACCAATCTTAAGATTGACGTACTCATACCTAATTATCGTATTGACGCATTCAGATGCCACTCTTAAGAAACTTGACTGCATTGAAACCATGGTTTCAAAGCCTAATATGTGAGGAAAGTTTGGTGTTTCCTCTTTTCGGTTTAAAAGGCTAGATTACTTCTCTTAACACCCCCCCCCCCCCTCTCTCCCGGCACTAGTAAATAGAAGATATAAGACTATTAGTCAGCTCAAGCTTAAAAACTCTAACTGGCCTACCAGTTCATCACCATAACCCATGAAGAAGACTGTATCTAGAATAAACCACAAGGGACAGAATTGCGTAACAGTAATAGATGATATTCTGCATATGCCGTACGTTAAACAGCCCCTAGCTTTACAATTTCAAAACAGGAAATTTTACTTATGACAGACAAATCAATACACACAACCCAGAAACTTCAGCGAATACAACTGAATCACGAAGTTAGGAACACGCAGAACTCCTCAACCTCCAAAACAACTCGCAAAAGTAGGAAAACCTCAAAATCAAGAAAACCCCATCTCCCATTTTGACAGGAATTGAGATAACAATTGGAGCGGAAAATCTACATTAACAAGACTAGACAGCCCAGAAATCCTAACCACACAGCCCCAGGGCTCTGTTCTAGTGTTAAGAGTGCGACGCGTGATGTGTGGGTTAGGCACACATCATCAGTTCGAACCCTGCCGCAGACAAAAGCCGGGTAGTAGATGAGCGGGCCCATCATCTATAGAGTTCGAATTGTGCGCACCAGTGGCCCTCGGGGATCTGGTTATCCGGAAAAAACTATGAACCACACAAAACCAAACAATAACCTCGACACCCATTTCAGAACTACTGCAAATCAAAGCTAACGCCATAAACAGAACTGCAAAACAACAGGAACTTAAAGAAAGCAAAACTATCACATACAATACCATCAAAACACATTTCAAAACAATTGCAAAATTAAGAGCCGAAAAACCAATGAAACACTAAAGAACACAACATACCACACAAGCACACAAAAATAACCAAAACCCTTTTCAGAATAAAAGGGAAATCTGAGGTTAAACAAACAAAAATTAACAAAAACATTGAAACCTGAAGAAAACATCAAGAACACAAAGTGGCCCATGAAATTAGACAAAACCCTATTCATAATAATAGCAGATTTCAAGGCTAAACAAACACAAAAAAGAAAATTAACAAAAATAAGACAAAACTTGAAAAATAATAAAGAAAAGGAAAAAAATACAAAGCATACCGTCTTCTTCCAGCCAGCTGGAGCAGGAAGCTCAACGGGCACAACTTCATTCTTGCTCGCCATATTTTTTTTCTGTGTGTTTTTCCCACCTAACTCGATTTCACAAAACGAACGCTATTTAAACCAACTAACTCATTTAACACTTCTAAAAGAAAAAGAAAAAAAGTAAATAAATTATTTCTTCTATATATATATGTACTACTATACCTTTTTTTGTCTTGAATGGATTTTGGATTTGGGGAAATCTAGTTTTTTTTTTTTTTTTACTGTAAAGTGAGATTGAGATGTATTTTGTGCAAAAAACGACAAAGTTAGATTTCTCTTTTTCTTTTTCTTCTTTTTGTGCACGTAAATAAAGGGTTTGGATCAGTTGTTGACGCACACGATGAGGACACGTGTCAGTACGGATGATTACTTTTGTGCAAATTATAAAATTGAAATGGATATTCCTTTGTTTTGCCCTAATTTGCTTAATTTCAGAGACGGTGCGGACATTGGCGGTTAACGGGTTTTCGCCCATTTTGGGTTGCAGACTTTAAAAAACAATAAAGAAAAGTTAAAGAGCCATTTATTGGTTTTCTTTTTTTTTTGACTCATTAATAGTTTGTGTTGGATCTTGAGATAAATTATACTTTTACCCACTTCTAACTTTCTATGTAACGCATAATATTCGAAACATATAACTAACTCCCTTTATCTCAATATATTTGGTATTATTTGGATTTTAAATGTCAAACTTCTCAAATTTAATCATAAATTCGGATTTAAATTTTTAATTTATTTGTCATAAAAAATATATACATATTTGTAAATTAAGAAAAAAATATTATAAATCACAATAGTTAATAGTTTAAGATATTTAAAAGACATATAAAAATAATTACGGTAAAAAATTCATCTAATTTAAAATTCGAACAATACCATATAAATTGAAAGGGAAAGAGTACTAGACTAGTAGAATATTACGTGCATCACATCTTGAATAACGGTCTAATATGTAAGAATTTGGGTAAAAAAATAGTGAAATGGGTACTATTTTTTTTTTGGGTCAAACTATCAAAATTTTTATTTAACCAAGTATTATATTTAGAACTCATTAACTCATTTGGACTCTCGAGCTAGACTCAAAAGAAAACAAAATTAACAATCCATTTTTCTCTACTACAACTTCTCTATTATCTATCTCTATATGTATCTATACATGTCTAAGTAGGATAGTTGTTCGATCACTCTAACTCCTTGTGCCATTTGGATTCATTCTGCCCTCGTATGTGTAGCTCTAGGATAATATTCTTCACCCTCTGAAGGCTTGACATCATCTTCCCTTGAAATCTTCATTGATTCCTCTCTGTCCAGATATGGTAAATTACAGCTGCAAACAGGAATCCTAGCATGTGAGCTCAAACTCTGCATGAACTTCTTTTCGCTAGCCATTCAATCTCAGCATTCCAGCTACCTCTTTGGTGTCTTTCTCCCAGCCATTTTAGCAATGTTGCCTACATATTCCTGGAGTAGTCACATTCAAAAAAGGGGTGCTCCATTGTCTCCTCGGTATCTTCCTCACAAAGCACACAATCACTTGCTATTGAAAGCCCCCACTTCCTTAATGGATCCACTATAGCTAGCTTCATATACATAGCCAACCACAAGATGAATTGATGCCTTGGTAATGCTTTTGAATCAATTGTAATCCTCTTCCAATGACACTTAGGATACTTGAGCATTGTTGCAACATACAACTTCTTGATGCTAAACTTCCTTTTTGTACAGTACTTGTTAAGATCAGCAGAGGGGTCCCTTTGAGTTAGCCAATCCCTAGAGTCAAATATTTTCCTAACTAGCCAGCAGGCCTGCTTAGGAGTTTGCATAGTCATTATGTCATTCCCTTTTATATAGTAGCTGTGTATCCATTGGATCCATAGATTGTCCTTTTTGTCATTAATTGCCCATAGAAGTTTACATAAAGAAGCTTTGTTCCAATTAGCCACATCAATTACATTTAGACCTCTAGCTGAAAGTGGCATACATATCTTGTCCCAAGCAACCAGTGCTCTCCTTGAAGGTTCATTACTTCCAGTCCAAAGGAAAGTTTTACAAGCAGTCACAATCAGTTTTGTTATCTTTTTTGGAAGTAGGAAAATCGTCTGTGCCCAGTAGGTCCGCATTTCAAATATCACACTCTTGATCAATTGCACCCGACCACTATAAGATAGGAATTTGGTTGACCATTATTTGAGTCGTGCAGTAACCTTTTCAATCAATGGCATACACTGCTGGATACATAACTTCTTAGAGGACAAAGAAAGTCCTAGATACTTGAATGGCAACTCCCCTGCTGTGAATTGCATTTCTCCAATGACCCCTTCTTTGAACTCCCTTTGTAGTCCTGCAATATTCAAAGCACTTTTCTCCATATTTGCTTTAAGCCTTGACACCTCTGAGAATGTTGAAATCTCCTCATGAGTAAGCTTATGGATAGCTTATCTTCTCTGCAGCACAGGATCAGATCATCAGCAAAACATATATGAGTTGTGTTCTTTTTAGAGCACCTCGGGTGGTAGTTGAAGTTTGGAATGCTCTCTAGTGTCTTCAGTGATCGATTCAGATATTCCATCACCAGTACAAATAGGTAGGGAGACATTGGATCTCCTTGCCTCAGCCCCTTTTTTGCTTGGAATTTGGTCTTCAATCCTCCATTTATCAGTAGAGAATAACTAACAGTTGTCACACACTCCATCACAAGTTGTTCAAACTTTACAGGCATACCAAATTCAAGCAGTATAATCTTTAGAAAAGACCACTCAACTGAATCATATGTCTTTCTTATGTCAACTTTGATCAAACCTCTTGGAGAGACCCTTTCTGAGTATATCCTTTAACCAACTCATGGGCAATAATAACTTTATCCAATATGTTCCTTCCCTCAATAAATGCTGATTGAGCAGTTCCAACAATGTAGTCAACCACAGTCTTTAACTTTGTTGTTAGAATCTTTGCAATGAGTTTATAGATTGTAGAACAACATGCTAGGTCTAAACTACTTAACAGATGTAGGACTATTTACTTTGGGCACTAGTGTAACTGTAGTGCAGTTCATGCTTCTCACCATCTACCCATTTTCAAAAAATTCCCGAATAGCTTGTTTAACTTCACCTCCAACAAGGTTCCAATGTGCTTTAAAGAACCATCTATACCTTGTGCTTTTTCATTAGGCAAATCTTTGAGGGCCTGATCAATATCCTTTTCTATTATTGGTCAGTTGAGCTCTCTTTGTTGTTCCTTAGTGAGGCTAGGTTCATTTCTAGCTGTATGTATATCAATACATGGCAATTCATCAGCACATTCCCCTAACAAAGATTTAAAGAATCCTGTAAACTCTTACTCTATCAGTTTTGGTTCAGTAATTCTGGTTCCTTGATCATTGTAGTTTGAACCAATTCTGTTTCTGGACTGCCTTGCCTTTAGATGCACATGAAAGAATTTGGTATTTTGGTCTCCGTATTTTATCCATATTGCTCTGGATCTTTGAAGCATCACTTGCTCATTAATTCCTTCCCATTTTTCTATCTGCACCAGCAACTCTTTCTCTTCTGATATTAGCTGACCATTAAATGGATCCACATCAAGTTTCGCTTGAACAGTCTGCAATTGTACCCTCAGATTGTCCAGCTTTCTCTCTAAAGAAGACACCTCTTTGTTCAGCTACCCTACTTTGTCTTTTAGCCTCTTTATTTCACCCAAATAGAGTACATAGTATGCCCCTGTATTTGTTGACACCACACATCATTCACAGCTTTCTCAAACTCCTTATTATTCAATAACACATTATATAGTCTGAATGGCTTTTGCAAATAGGACTTGACTACTTCTGTGTTAATGATAATAGGAGAATGATCTGAAACTCCAGGCTTTTCAAAAATAGCTTCAAGACTACTATATCGTGTCAGCCATGAAGCATTTCCAAAAGCCAATCAATATTGCTATAAATCATGTTTTCTGCATCCCTTTTGTTACACCAAGACCATTGGCACCCCTTTCTGTTTAGTTGTCCCAACCCCGTGTCAGCAATGCATTTTTGAAAGTCCACCAATTCAGCTTGTTGCACTGGTTGCCCATTGATTCAATCATCAACAGATAACACACTATTAAAGTCACCTATAACCAACTATGCCTCTTGCATAATTTTTTGTATTTGTCTTAGTTGATCCCATATGCTCCTTCTTTCAGCTATAGTGTTCTTCCCATACACAAATGTTATGTCACATGTAAATTGTGTACTTTTATCTTTCAACTTGCAATCTACCAATTGATCATTAGCTATCACTGCATTAACCTGCACCATTTGCTCTTTCCACAGTAGCCAGATTTTTCCCCTCTCATTTGTAGCTTCATCAGAGTACACCTTCCAATCTCTACTAAATTTAGCTCGAACTTTAGTAACACTCCTAGGCTTTATCTTTGTCTCAAGGCAGCCTATTAGAGTAATGTTGTTTTTCAGCAGAAATGCCTTGAGTTCTTTCTGCTTGAAGAGCTTATTCAGCCCTCTTATATTCAACGAGCTTATTAGCATAGTGGATTCTCCTCATTGAGGACAACCCTTTCAGTCACCTTATCAGTGTTTCTATCATCATGAATTCTCAAAGGACTGTATCTATTTCTACTTAGCATGTTTTTCAAATTCGTATCTGATAATGCTCCCTTTTGTGTTACCTGTCCTTGAGCATTCATTATCTCCTTTCCTCTATCCTTTTGTTGTGGAGGTTCTACTGCTGTAATTTTCTCGTGGTTAGGATTTTGTTCTAGTATATCCTCCTACTTTTTCTGGTATTGCTCAGTCACAACCTTTACTCTCCATTGGCCAGTTTGTTGTTTCTTTTTCTGCTGTCTCTTTGCTTTCTCTTGCTGTCGTTTGGATGGTATTTGGTTTTCTTAAATGTCAACCTGCCTTTGAGCTTTCTGAATCTTTGTGCATTCCTTAGTATGTTGCCCTATTTGAAGACATTCCTCACAATATGCTGGTTTCCATTTATATTCCAGCATTTGCTCCCAACATTTTCCACCAGCCACTTCAATCAGCATCGTATCAGGCAACTTTTGTGAGATATTCATTTCTACAAGTATACGTGCATATGAAATTCTATCACACTGAGCTGTTAGCTTATCTGAAAAGATAGGTTCCCTAGATAACTTGCAATTACATCTAAATTCTCCTTAGTCCAGTACTGAATTGGTAAACCTGGAAAATTTCCCAAATAGGAACATTCCTAGTCATTTCCTTGCTCAGCTGGAAATCAGGCTCCCACTG